CCTGGGGGACGTCGGGCCCAGCAAAGAGCTGAAGCTGAAGCTCCAGTCGGTGGTGGACGCCATAGAGTGGACGCGGGACGCATTGCAGAACACAGAGGAGGGTGGTGCCCTCTGGGATGGTGGAGTTGCCGCCTGGGGCTGTCAGCTGGAGAGGCTGCTGAGGACTGACGCTGAGGCCCGTGTGCCCACCTGGGACCCTGGGAACGAGCTGGACCTATACCTGAAGGAGCTGGACAAGGCTGTGGGACAGGGGCTGGGGCCCCAGGGGGCGGGCCAGTTGGGGCCCCACCTCGGGTGTGTCTACAAGATGTGCTTCCAGGAGGTCCTCCTCAGCCGCCTCTCCGAGGTCTTGTCGTCTTGTCACCATTGGGAGAGCTGTGACATGCTGGACACCTGGGGCCAGACCGCCTTGTTCGGGCAGCAGGGGTGAGTCTTCCGGGGGCTGGGTGATGCCGCTGCCTTGCGGTGAGGGCCCTCGGACCCAGGGCTGAGGTCAACACAGAGGCCATTGGAAAGACCACCAGGCAGGGAGTGGTGTCAGGGAAGGGTGGACTCAGCCAGCCCTGGGGACAACGCGTGCCCCCGCGTGTGTGTCAGTGTGGATGTATGTGGGCGTGTGTCGACGTGCTCGTTCTGCAGTACGTGTATATGTTCAGGTGTGTTTGTGTGTGTCAGGGGAGTTTGTGTATCTAGGTCTGTGTGTCACACAGAATCGTCTACACCAGCTGTCCCCTGCAGTCACTGACCCTGTGGGCCGGGGCCTGGAGTCGCTGTCCTTAGCTTCAAGCTGTGCTCCACATCCAGCCGCCCCCACCAGCATGGCTCTGTGCCCCTCACAGCTCCTTCAGATGCAGCAGCGAGACGCTTCTGGGCGCACCTGTTCCCTCCCAAGAACCTGAGGCAGACTGCCTCCTGAACCAGCTGGTGTTTGTCACCTGGATGTCCCAAGTGCAAAAGACACTGGTAGAGCTGGTCCAGGTAAACAGCCAGGAGCGGGTGCCACCGAGGCCCCTGTTCCTGCGTCTGGGGGAGGAGCCAGAATGCGCTCAGGAGTGGGGTCGGGGCTTGAACCAGAGCCTGGTCCGCTCCTGGGACTGGGGTTGGGCACTGACCCTGCCCTTGACCACGATCAGCGGGCAGTACCAGGGTGCTGCAGGTGGAGGCACGAGGTGTATCACAGAGCAGCCGAGGGGGACACCAGGCCAGGAACCCCCCTCCTTGGTGAGCGGGAACGGAGTCAGGTGTCCCAGGGCTGAGCATTCCGCGAGCCCACGGCAAACGGTTAGGACTCACGGGGACATCGCAGCTTTGTACTGCTAGCATTTTTAACAACTGCTCTTCCTGTGACAAGCCTGGCCTTGGGCACAGACACATAAACAGTCATGGCTGCCGCAGGAGAGATGTCCGAGGGCCAGGGAAGCCCTCTGCCCTTCTTAGCTCACAGCCCCAGATACCAAGCTTTTCGACAACACTGAGGGAAAGAAAAGGTATAGATTTAACTGGAATTTTCCAAAAACTGGCATATAAATGCCCCTAGCCTTCTCCTTGGCTGCTGACCAGATGTGCTAGCCAAACTCAGGGCCCTGTCACCTCTGAGCATCTGGGTGTGCACCTTCCGTCCCCCATGGATCTCCTTGAAGCCGAGAGGCCGCAGTCTGGGCTGAGTTGGAGACTGGGTTTGTCGCTGCCTGGCATCTGCTCACGGATGGTCACGGACTGTGCCGAGTGGCCAGGTGTTCAGACAGCAGGCAGAACGACAGTAGCAGTGTGGCCTTTCAGATTGTCCTGGGGGTTGGGTGTCAGCAAGAGGCTAACGTGGAGTCGGGACCCTCACTGCCCAGGGCGCCCACACACGGGGAGGGTTCCCGCTGTTATATGGATGGGCGTGGGGAGGGGGCTTTGGGGAGCTGCGGATGGAAAAGCCCTGATGGCTGAGTCGCAGCCGAGTCAGATGTCCTTGGCCAAGGGCCTGGCAAGCAGGCTCCAGATGGAGGCGCGTGGGCTAGGAACGCAGACCTCAGAGCAGGGGCCCGGGCCTTGCCTGCGACTCCCCGAGACCGTGCGTAGGACCACGCACCAGGCTCGGGTGCGGATGGCAGCTTCCCAGTGAGCCTGTCACGGGAAGCCCTTGTCATCGCCTATGGTTGGGCCTGAGGGCTCACACTTGGGGTCGGCCAGGTGCAGGTCTCCAGAGCTCTGGACACTCCGACCCAGCCCAGGCCCCACAGGCCAAGCAGACCCCTTGGGGCTTGGCCAAGGCCTTGTCAGTCCCGGCGGTCTGTGGCCTGTGTGCTCACTCTGGGCATTTGGCCTCCCCGGTCAGCTCACGATCACCTCATAGCCTCTGGTGCCCGAGGGGAGGAGGGTGCTCACTGCCCCCCAGTGAGTGAGCAGGTGATGACGGGGAGCAGTCGCCCTGCCAGGAAGGTGGTCCCCGGCCGCCCAGGATGGGCAGAGGGCTGGGGGCCGTGAAAGGAGGGATTTTTTTTGTGGACAGGGAGGTTTCAGGCTGCTGGTTGGCAGGGGTTCCAGGCTGGCTCCAACCCTCGCTCCTCACTTGTCCAGTTGGGGGCGCACCAGCCTTAGCTATAGAGGGGCTGGACCTGGCTGCACCCCAGAGAGCGCCGTGGGCACACGAGTTGCTTTTATTGTGTTCTCGGCAGGAAGTGTTGACGGAGTGTCTAGAAAAAGTCCTGATCTGCGGGTGGAGAAATCTGGCCACGTCTCTCTACCACACGTTCCTTGACTTCTTCCAGGTGAGTGCCCGTCGGCATCTTTGAGCCCACCCCAAGGGCGCCGGCCCCTTCCCCTGCCTGGCCTGGGTGGGGGTGCCTGGAAGGACCGGGCTGTGGGGGGAAGGGCTAAGCCACTGCCCGGTGTCGGGGCGGAGGTCAGGCTCCTAGGACTTAGAGCAGGGACAGTGTGCCTGAGGACACGAGGCAAAGGGAGGGGTGAGGAAAACGGTGATGGGCTTGAAGCTGGAGAGGGTCACATCGTCCCAGTGTCCACCGGCTCCGTGACCGGCCCTGGTGTCCCCTGACAGTCTGCTTGCTTTGATTGACAGTTGTTGGAAGAAACCATAAATTCGGTCCAACATGTTGGGCCGCCTGTCACCGGCTGGGTTCAAGCCATGGTTCTGGAAAGGCTTTTAAAATTTCTGCAAAGGTAAGTGGAAAGGTGGCCCCTGGACACATGGGGAAGCATGGATGGCCGGCACCACTGGCCCCAAGCCGAGTGCTGACCGAGCCCAGCCGTGCTGGCCACTGGGCCTTGGGCTGGTCCCCCACGTGGGGCAGGGTGGCTTGGCCTCGGGTCCCCGCCGTCCTGGCCACTCTACCTCCCAGCCTGGTGGTGGAAGCAGCCGCAGGTCAGCGCTGTCCGACGTGAGGTGCCAGCCCGGGGCTGCTATGTTGGCTCCGTGGAGGACCGAAGTCTAGATTTTACTTCATTTTAATGAATCGACGTTTGACTGCTGCGTGGGGCTCTCGGCTTCCGGATTGCCGCGGGGCTGGGACTGGGTGACGGCAGGCAGGGGACTCTCAGAGTGGGGGCCACGTCCTGCCCTTATTCACAATTTGGTGTTCTGCTCATCATAGATTTTAATTAATTAATTTATCTATTTTCAATCAATCAATTAATTATTTTAATGGAAGAAATGATTTACATTTCCCCTCCCCGTCTATCTCCCCTCCCCCCACAGGTTTTTTTGCACTGATTTTGAGTTTTAAAAATATCGTTTGTTTGGTCATCGAACTTTTGGGTGTTCCCTTAGGCCCTGCAGCCGAGGCAGGCGCCTCGCTCCTGCCCCAGCCCGGATTGGGGTGGAGACGCCGCTTCTGTTTAAGCAAATGCCCCTGGGTGGCCAGTCTGAGACCCCAATCCGTGTTCTCGGGCTCAGACTGTCGAAGGCCTTTGGGGAGTGGTGGGTGCTCTTTCTACTCTGCTACCGGGGCAGCTACAACGGCCCAGGTGGGGTGTGGGCACCCCCAGGCCTTACCCAGACGCCGGGGGGCCAGCCAGGCTCCAGGGGCGCTGCTCTGCCCTGCCCAAGCCAGAGGCCTTCTCCCCGCCCTGATTCCCCAGCCTGCGGAGAGCAGGCCTCTGGGATGCAGCCCCCAGAACCCTGACTCTGGACCACGGAAAACTCGCACCTGTCTCTTCTGGAAGCATCTACCGCAGAGAGTTGTCGAGAGCATTCGATGAAAAAATCCTTAGGAAATATTCGGCCCCCACGTCTGGCATGGAGCCAGCTCGAGTGAATCCTAGCTGCATTGTGGACATCACGGTTACGTCCCCCACACGTGTGATTCTGTGACGGGGAGCCATCTGGAGGGCGAGGGGGCGCGATGGGGAGGACATGTCCACCTTTGCACGCAGGTGCCAGGCCGAGGCCGCTCGCTTCCTCCAGAATGTGGGTGCTGAGACTTTCCCCGAGCTGCTCGTGCTGGGAAACTGCTGCATCTCAGGTGCCCCCCGTGTGTCCCTGGCTGTGCCAGGGGCTTCAGACCCTGGGGGCCGATCCATGTGGACGGGAGACTCGTTGCCATCTATGAAAAAGGGGGAAGGACACTGGCCCCTTCCAGAGGTACGGATGCACAGTTTTGCATGGGAAACACCAGGTGCCAATGACACTGGCTGCCTCTAGGGAGAGAGGTTTTCACTTAGAAAAAAGCGAGCTGGAAAACAGACAGGAGCAGCAACAGAAATGGGCGGGGCGTCTGTTTCCCAACTGCCTGGGGGTGCACGGGGTGGGGGGGCACCCGGGTGGGTGGGCATGCAGCAGGGGCTGTGCATGGGCCCCGAGGGTCCCTTCTGCTGTCCCCAACAGGAAAACATGGCAGGAGCTGAGCCAGGAGTACATCGCATCGGCCAGCTTGGATCCAGCTGTGCAAGACACCATCGATGTCATCGAGGGCCTCAGCCGGTGCCACCTTCTGTCCGGAGTGAGAGCATTGTGCCAGGTGACGCCTCTGCCCCCACCATCCTGGCTGGGGTCTTTTCTGCTTCTGGGAGGGAGGCCCCTGCCGTGTGTCCCAGGCTCCTGTCCAGCCCGACAGAGCCTTCCCTGGGATGGAGCATAGCAAAGTTCCAGTGACAGAGCCGTCGGAGGTGTCCCAGCTGGGCCTCCTGCCCTCCTTGTGCTTCTAAGGCCCGGCCGCAGCCTGCCACGTCCTCCCGAGGGCGGCTCCCTGGACAGGGTCAGGGTCCACATCTGCGTCCATCTGTCACCTTGGGCCAGACCTGCTTCTTCTCCCCTCCGCCTGTGAACCCCCCACCTCCCGCCAGGCCGGCTGAGGCCCGACCCTGATTCCCCCGGGCCTCACCCCTCCCCTATCCTGGCTCTGACCTTGCGTAACCCCAGGCAGGTAAAGCCCCCTCCACTGTGTGTCAGGGCCTCTGTGCCCACCCCGCTTTGCCTCCCTCTGAGCTGTGACTGTTCGCAAGGCAGATGCCCAGGGCCTGACCCCAGGGCAAGCTGTCCTCCCAGGATGTGGACCTACAGGTAGAAGTTTCCCGTCCGAGTCAGGGTTCAGGGCCTCCTGGGACCCGTTCAGGGCCTCCTGGGTCCCATTCATGGCCCTGTCCTCACAGAGGCCTCCTGGGCAGGAAGATGGGAGGGGCTGGTGCAGGTGGGCCTCCCTGCTGGCAGCTCTATCCTGCCATCCGGTCTCCACCGTGGAGACCGGCTTCTGAGGCCGCTGCCGCTGGATTTTCTGCAGAGATCCGAGCGCCTGGCTTAGTGTGGCATAGAAAGATCTGGGGAGCTTATCTCCTCCCAGGACAGCAAGGGCACAGCCGAACGCTGCCCTCGCCTCACCTGGAGCCGTGGCAGACGCTAATCCAGCCCAGCTATATCTTGCAGGGAGTGTGTGGGGGGCACAGCCGGCCTGGGGGTCTCAGGCTGCGGTGACGTGGAGCCTTCGGTCCTCAGAGTCTGCTGAGGGATCACTTCGGAAAGAAGGACAAGAACCTGGTCCAAGCTTTGTGGTCCCTGAAGCAGAGCCTGGAGGACTGTGGCCGCCGGAGCTCCGCTCCCATGTCTGAGGTAGAAGGAAGCGGAGGCTGGCTGGTCCCTGGGGGTCATTCTGCATGGCCGCTGGGACCCGATGCTCCCCAAATGTGGGCGGGGCCTCAAAAGGATGTGGGAACCGTCCTGCCGACAGGGAGGCCCAGGGCCAGAGACTGACCGAGGTGAACGACCTTCATGGTCACCCTGGCCGGTCCCCGGTCTACCAAGGCGGGTGGTCTCTGGGCATCACCCCGAGAAGCTGAGGCAGGCCACGCCTGAAGCCCCTTGGTTAGGGTCAGACCTGCGGGGTGGTGGGGACAGGTCCTGACGAGCTTCGGCTTGAGGGGATTTGTGTAGCACCTGCCACCCCGTCCCCGCTGAGCCCGGTCAGACCGTGTCCTGGGAGGCCTTGCACACAGGCCTTGCCATCTTCTTGTCTTTTGGGGCAGAGCCTTGTGGAAAGTGTGGACATGGCGGTCTTTGGGGAGTACGTCCAGGCCCTGGTCTCCCATCTCCAGAAGCAGAAGCCCAGGAAGTGGGGGACCCTCCGGGATCAGGTGGACAAAGACACCTCGAGTCTGTACAGCGTCTTCAGGGAGCATGGGGTGAGCCGCCGACGCCTCGGGTGGGTCTGGGTACCGGGTGTCCCGTTCCCCCTTCCAGCTCCCGCCTCCCTCTGGCCCCTCACCCGGTGCAACGTGGGCCTCGAATCAACACACAGGGCGCGGCCACCGGCGTGCACAGCAACACCGAGTTGGGGCTAGGGACGTCAACAGCTGGGGGGCAGGCAGGTCTGGCCAGGACAGCCTCGGGGAGCTCGGGCGATAACAGTGGGGGTCCGCCGCCCTCCCCGGCGATGCCGGCCGGGCCTGTGCGGCCTCCTGGAGGAGGCTGACCCAGAAGCTCTCCCCTCAGGGGCCTGGCTTGGCCGAAGTGCGGGGGCCCATCATGGAGCCCTTCCTCCCTGGCGAGGACGGGGGAAGTCGGGTGTTGGACTGCTGGCTGGCTTCCTTCAGTGACAGGTTCCCTGGTTTTCTGAGGTACGAGGCGGCATGAGGGGCCGGGGGAGATGGGGGAGGGAGGTGATCTGCGAGGCGGGGCACTGCCAGGGCCCAGGGTGAGGACAGGGCTTCGTGGAGGCCCCAGATCCCCAGGTGTGATGGGTCAGTGGCTGCCAGGGATGGGACCCTGGGCAAGAGTTACATGGCTCTGTGCCCATTCTCAGATAGGAAGACAGTTCAGAGAGGGGCAGAGACTTGCCCCGGATGCCCAGGAGGCAAGTGTAGGCAGTGCAAAAGCATCGTCTGTGAGGGGGTGGGGGGTGCCAAGGGGCCATAAAGGAGTCTGGTCTCTCTGCCTCTTGCTGCCAGTCTCTGAGGCAGACCCCTAGAATGCTGCTGTCCTGACCCCTTCCTACAGTTCCCGGGGCTCCCTGGTAGGCTGCCTGGGGGCCCTGGGAGGGGAGAGGGACACGGACTAGGGAACCTCCTCGTGTCCCAGCTTTCCTGAAAGCCACTGCCCTGGACATCCTGTGCGCAGACCCGGGGCTCACAGAAGCTCTCCTCCTGCTCCCAAGCAGACGGGACGGATCACGCAGCTTCAAGGAGTTGAAGGTGGAGGTTAAGGTAAAGAGACAGCTCTGCTGCTGCTTCTGCTGATCCCCCCGGCTCTGGACACGGTGACCAAGCGCTCGAGGTCCCGCGTGCTCCTCCAGGGAAGGCAACAGGACAGCGTCCAACCCTGGGCGGGGACACTGGGGAGGCCCTTTGGGGGATGTAGCGTGGGTCCAGTTGCCTTAAGGGGACACTATCACTGGCCTGGGGGCAGGACTTGTAATCTAGGCCAGCAATTCTCAAATGTTTTGGTCTAGGATCCTTTTACTCTTAATTATTGAACTAAAGAACTGTATGTAGCTTAGATGTTCTATCTATTGATGGTTACTGTATTAGAAATTAAATCTGAGATGTTCGTTTATTTACAATATTTAGTCGTCGAAATCAAAGTAATTCATTAAAATTGAAAATTAGTATTCACTAAATATAAAGTAAATGATCATATATGAACCAGTAGATTTGAAAATAAACTACTATTTATATAAAATGATATTCATTTAGAAATATTAATTTATTTTAAAAGAATGATAAACCCATAATTTGTTAACATTAAAAATGATTTTTACGTGAAAAATAAGCGTTCGACCCAAACAACGTATCACACAGATCGGATGTCGTCAGGCTACTTACTTTGTAAGCCAAAGATATTTGCGAAAACTCATGACACCCATATGTTTCTTGTTGCTGTTTCAGAAGATACTGGTTTTGGGGACATTGCCCTGGCAGTGGCTGGCAGAGGGTGGAGGGGCCTGGGCAGGACGGCGTGACCCTCCGCTGTGGGACTCGGCCGCTTCGTCTGTCTTTCCCTCTGGGACACCCAGGGACTGGGGTTGCTGTCACTTGCACCGTCTCATCAGCTCTGCCTCGTCCTGACAACATCTAACTGCCGTCGATTTTACAGATGGGGAAATCGAGGCTCAGAGGGGAGAGTGACTTCTTCAGAGTCACCCTTACTCTTCAGTGTTGGCCCGGGGACAAACCCAGGACTGGCCCCTTCGTCTCCATGAGCATTCATTCATTCAGTTGTCTCTTGTGCTTTAAGAGTGGCCTGCAGGGTGCCCCAAATCCCACCAGAGGGCGCCAAAGCCCAGGCTTTGGGATGCAGGCCCCCCCACCCCCATCACCAGTGACCCAGTGTCCCAGAGGCAGCCCCTCCCCCGGCCCCTCCCCAAGATCGGCTCCCATCCAGGCTTCAGAGAACTCAGAGCTCAGGTCCCAGGGACTCTGGGGTCCCCTGTCAGCCCAAGAGAACAGGGGCGTTAGGCCAGAGGAGGGGGATGTGAGACCCAGAGGCAGTGACCGCAGAGGCCCTGGGACCCGTCCCTGTCCCTCAGCATCCTGCAGCACTCCCAGCGCCGCTGACCTTGGAGTTCAGACGCTGCCTTAGACACTCCGACGTCCTTCTAAATTAAATACGAAAACTCACAACTAATTTTTGCACGTGCAAGCTGCCTGACCTTGCGAAGGAACGTGCTCACGCACGCAGTGATGCTTCTGGAGGGTCTGGCACGACCGTCACGTGTGTGCGATGTGGTAATAGAGGGGCGGGTCCCCCTCGAAAGTGACAAAGAAACGAAAATCGAACTCGGTTCCTTCGTGGGGCGCCCAGTGCCTTCGGCCCTCGGTGGGGGTGGGGTGGGTCCGTGTCTCTCAGGCCCAGCTGTTCATCCTCCTCCACCGTGATTTGGGTCCTTCCTTACTTCCAGGGACATGGGGAGAAGCCTTGGCTCAGCCCTCCGCACCTGGCGGCTGGGCCGATGATGAGGAAATCTGAGGCATTTTCAGTAAAAGCTAATCTGCCATTCTGTTCTCTTTCTGTAAATATGCTTGTTGCAAACGTTATGCTTGCAGAGCTCACCTGCAGCGCTCACTTGCACCTTGTCCTACTTGTCTGAGCACTAAATGATACTGTTTGCACCCCTAGCAGCGCGCCCAACCCTAACCCTAACCCCTCCCCACACAGAACCCTCTGCCGAGGACTCCCCCATCCGAACACAGTGAGCGGGCAGCCATTGTAGAGCAGACGCCAGCTTCCCCTCCGGAACTGAGGGGGATTTGAGAGCCAAGATATCTCCTAAGGGGAGAGAACGCTTACACGTTTGGGACGAAATACAACAAAAGACCTTTAATCCTTAGCCGGGACCCTAATAAAAGGAAAACGCCACTGGCCACGATGAAACCGGAGCAGACGACCGGGTGACAAGCTGACACGGACGCTTCAGCGGCCCTGGGAATATCTGCTGGCCTCGGAGCCAGGACGTTCCGTTTCAGTGGCCGTCTGGAGACAGGAATAGGCTTTGACCCAGGCGACGCCGGCACCGAGACCCCACGACCGCGAAGGACTAGGTTCTCGGTGAAACGGTGGCGAGGCGGGGAGTCTATCACGGCGGCACGGAGGACGTCTGCCTTGGCCCGAGCCCCGGACAGAGCAGGGGTCCCCCGCCCCTCAGACACCTGCGTGTTGCCCTGTACTCACCTGAGCCGCCCACTTTGTCTCAGAAGCTGCGAGCTGAGAGTCCCACACAGAGGCCTGGGCAGGTGTAACCGCTGGGTCTTCTAGGTGCTGCACTTGATGGTTGGACATCAAGGTCAGCCTTGCTGACCTTGGAGGGCCCGCCTCTCCCAGTGTCAGCCAATTCCTAGAGATCCGGAAGGATCTCTGGGAGCACGTCACCATCTGCAAACCAGTCCAGAGCCTGCACCGCCACCACCGCCTGTATCGCCTCTCACTTTGGGCCGCTAGTTCCCTGCCCTAATCACCCAGGGCCAGGCTCCAGACACTAGGGACTGTCCCTATGCCCCAGAACCCACCTGAATGATTCCAACTAGACAATCCCCAACCTCTTGACCCTGCCCTGCCCCTTCCTTCCGGTGGAAACCTCAGTCGAGCCTCTTGCCCACGGCTCCCCTCCGTCTGCCCCATGTGCCCTTGGGTGTGGCCCCTCCCCAGGGTCTGCGGGCATCACAGCTGCTTTCCCAGGGCCGTCTGTGTGGGTCGAATGCAGAGTCCTCATGCCTGGGATGAGTACCCCGGAGAACCACTCCTCCGTCCTCCACGTGAGGACACAGACGTCGGCCCTGCCGGCCTGGCCAGAGGTGACCTTCTCTAAATATGAGAACCAGGAGACTAGCGGGGTGTTCACGGCATTGGCTCATAAAGAGCAGAACGTGCGAACAGCCCAGAAGTCCAGAGCCAGGGAGGGACGCGGGCAGATGCACACAACGGAACAGTGCGCGCCGGGAGAGCGAAGTGACAGCTCGCCCCACGACGGCACGGAGAAGTCCTCCGTGCCGCCATGAGGGATGAGGCCACAGCAAAATATTGAACAAACAGCAGGCACGATAGGACTCAGGGCACAATTCTATTTGTATCAGGTTCAAAACCAGTGGAGACGAACTACCGACGTCGTCAGTGGAACTGCTGGGTGGAGGCAGCGACTTCTCGTGGTTTCCCGCTCCCTGCAGACACTTATAAGCATCCCTTGTGCTTCTTTAAACACGCGGAACAGACGATGTCCCCCGGTCTGAAGCCTGGCACGTCCGCTCTGTTGCCTGTGGGTCCCCTGTCCTGGCTTCTGTCCACGGGGCACGGTGACCTCTGCGTGCCCCTCGGTGACCTGGAGCAGAACCGGTAGCAGCGTTTGAGGCCGAGAGTGCAGGTTCCTTCCCCAAAGAGGACTTGCAGGCGCTCTCGCCCTGCCGACCCTCCGCGTCCCGTCTCCCTTCAGCGCTGGCCTGGTGATTCCTCATTTCTGTGCCGGATCTCTAACTTTTTTAAACTAAAAAACTTTATTTTCTAGAGCAGTTTGAGATTCACAGAGAAACTGAGCAGAAGGTACACAGATCTCCCATCTACCCCTGCCCCGCAAACGCCTGGCTCCCAGCCACCAGCACCCCCACCAGAGGGCGACATTTGTTACACCCGATGACCCCGCACTGGCCTTCGTCACCGCCCGAGGTCCTCATGCCCGTGGGGTTCACTCTTGTGTTGCATATTCTGTGGGTTTGGATGAGGAAATCACTGCCCTGTCTCCCTAAGCGGCTGTACCGTGTTGCGTCCCCACTGGCAGCAAGCGAGAGTCCCCGCTGTATTTGGCTTGGTCGGCGTCCAGGATAAGTCACTCCGATAGGTGTGTGGTGGCATCTCACTGTTTTAACTGGTCTATCTCCAGTGACATAGGATGTCGAACACCTTTTCGTACGCTTACTTGCCGTCTGTAAATCTTCTTTGGTGAGAGGTCTATTTAGGTCTTTTGGCCATTTTTAAATCAAGTCGTTCATTTTCTTACTGTTGGCTTTTAAGAGTTCTTTGTTCACTGCGGATAATCGTTCTTTATCAGATGTGTCTTTTGTAAATACTGTCTCCAAGTCTGCGGCTTGTCTCCTCATTCTCTTGGTATTGCCTTTCACAGAGTAGAAGTTTTTCTAATTTTTAATGAAATCCAGCTCATTGATTTTTTCTTTCATGGACCATGCATGATTTTGGAGTTGGACCCAAAAAGTCATCCCCAAACCCGAGGTCATCCAGGTGCCCTCCTATGTTATCTCCTAGGAGTCTTATAGTTTCGCACTTTATGCAACCCGTTGTGAGTTAATTTTTGTGAAGGGCATAAGGTATGCGTCTAATTTTTTTTGGGGGGGGCGCATATGACCGTCCAGTTGTCCTGACACCGTTTGTTGAAACCACTATCTTTGCTCCATTGTATTGGATTTGCTCTTTGTCGGAATCAGCTGATATATTTTTGCGGGTCTGTCTCTGGGTTTTCCATTTGGTTCCATTGATCCGTTTGTCTTTCCTTTCACCGATACCACACTGTACTGATTACCGCAGCTTTATCGTATTTAAATTTTTTATTTTGTAAAATTAAAGTAAAACGGAAGTAATCCCCTCTATTCCTAGTTTACTGAGTTTGTGTCGTGAATGGGTGTTGGATTTTTTTTTGGACGCTTTTTCTGCACCTACTGAGATAACCATGTGAGTTATCTTCTTTGGTCTGTTGAGCAGATGGATTACATTAATCGATTTTCAAATGTTGAACCAGCTTTTCACACTTGGGCGAAATTTCACTCGGTCGCGGTGTATGATTTTTTTTATACATTGTGGGATTGGGTTCGCTCGTATTTTGTTGAGGGTTTTTGCATCTTTGTTCAATGAGAGCTATTGGTCTGCAGGTTTTCTTCCCTTATAATGTCTCTGTCTGCTTGTGGTGTCGGGGTAACTCTGGCTTCCTAAAATGAGTTTGGAAGTGTTCCCTCTGCTTCTGTCTGCTGGAAGAGGTTGTATAGAATTTACCCATTCCACACTGGATTTCAGCATCTTCTGAGAACTCAGCCAAGCGGGGGACACAGGCGCGTGGAACACTGAGTGCGGACGTGAGCACCCAGGCCAGCCTTC